GAATCTGGGGCAAGTCCTTCTGAGGTTTAAACCAGGGCAAACCACTACAGGGTCCAGACACTGGGGAAAATGGGTTCAAACCATATCCTGGTATAATCACCGCCAAGGTTCTCATCGCAGAAGAAAGTCCTTCAAACACCCGGCAGACTGGGGCAAACTGGTTGAACTTGGGGCAAACTAGCTGATGGTTGAGGTCAACAAGCGCCAAAGTCCTTGGGGCAGAGCAAAAGCGCAATCCAAACGCATTGGTTAAGTCGCTATGCTCACGCAATCCATATGCATTGGTTAAGTCGCTATGCTCGCACGATTAACACGCATTGGTTAAGTCGCTATGCTCACACAGTCAACATGCCTTGGATAAATCGCTACGCTCAACATTTGTAAGACATCATGACATATCAGCTAGAAGCAAGGTTCTTACAAAAACAAGTACACCACTTCTGCAAAGGATCCAACTTGGGGCACCAAGAGTATCCCCACCTGTCTTCTAAACGTGGCATTGTCGGAAATTGTGTGTCGGGAAGTCAAAACCTCTCACTACCTCACAATAAAGTCCAATCTTTTATTGGCAACTACAAAAAGCCACTCCTATTGGTTTCTTCAATTTACCCTATAAAGTCCAGTCTTCATTGGCAAACAATAAAAGTCCACCTTCGATGGCATCCTCAATAACCAAAGTCCAATCTCGTTTGGCAACTACCAAATGCATTCCCTGGCGGTATCCCCGCAAGAATTTATCCCCAGTATACCTGATCATTTGCATTATCATAAGCATAGCATACAACATGATATCATAATCATGTCAAGCATTAACACATCATTTACGTATGCATCTTGCACTCCCTAGTAGTTGCATGTTTGTGCATCGTAACACATAGCATCGCTATCCATAGCAGCAGGGCATAACAGGATCCAAGATCAGTTCGCAAACATCTTGGCCAGTCCTTCATCATAGTCGGCAGTATTTCTCTGAAGAGACACCCCGCGAGTTCAAGGAATTTGACTCCCCAGCAAGTCATTCTTCAACCATGCAGTTGATGGTGATAGTCCCCAACAACATTTGCTAATATGGCTCCCCAAGCAGAGGTTATCTTAAAAAGTTTCTCGAAGACCTTGCCCCTGCAGAGTTCGGACAACGCTGTTCCTTTAAATAGGAATTTTAGCTCAGCTATTCCTCAACAAAATTATCACTCGAGATACTGCTTTGGTATCATCGAAGAATCTTATTGGAAAAGGTACTGCTTCGATCACCCGAAGAATCTCAAGTTTTGTTTGAGATACTGCTTTGGTATCATCGAAGAGCCTTAATGGATAAGGTACTGCTTCGATCACCCGAAGAATCTCAAGTTTTGTTCGAGATACTGCTTTGGTATCATCGAAGAGCCTTAATGGATAAGGTACTGCTTCGATCACCCGAAGAATCTCAAGTTTTGTTTGAGATACTGCTTTGGTATCATCGAAGAGCCTTAATGGATAAGGTACTGCTTCGATCACCCGAAGAATCTCAAGTTTTGTTCGAGATACTGCTTTGGTATCATCGAAGAGCCTTAATGGATAAGGTACTGCTTCGATCACCCGAAGAATCTCAAGTTTGGTTCGAGATACTGCTTTGGTATCATCGAAGAGCCTTAATGGATAAGGTACTGCTTCGATCACCCGAAGAATCTCAAGTTTTGTTCGAGATACTGCTTTGGTATCATCGAAGAGCCTTAATGGATAAGGTACTGCTTCGATCACCCGAAGAATCTCAAGTTTTGTTCGAGATACTGCTTTGGTATCATCGAAGAGCCTTAATGGATAAGGTACTGCTTCGATCACCCGAAGAATCTCAAGTTTTGTTCGAGATACTGCTTTGGTATCATCGAAGAGCCTTAATGAATAAGGTACTGCTTCGATCACCTGAAGAATCTCAAGTTTTGATCAGAGATACTGCTTTGGTATCATCGAAGAGCCTTAATGAATAAGGTACTGCTTCGATCACCCGAAGAATCTCAAGTTTTGATCAGAGATACTGCTTTGGTATCATCGAAGAGCCTTAATGGATAAGGTACTGCTTCGATCACCCGAAGAATCTCAAGTTTTGTTCGAGATACTGCTTTGGTATCATCGAAGAGCCTTAATGGATAAGGTACTGCTTCGATCACCCGAAGAATCTCAAGTTTGGTTCGAGATACTGCTTTGGTATCATCGAAGAGCCTTAATGGATAAGGTACTGCTTCGATCACCCGAAGAATCTCAAGTTTTGTTTGAGATACTGCTTTGGTATCATCGAAGAGCCTTAATGGATAAGGTACTGCTTCGATCACCCGAAGAATCTCAAGTTTTGTTCGAGATACTGCTTTGGTATCATCGAAGAGCCTTAATGGATAAGGTACTGCTTCGATCACCCGAAGAATCTCAAGTTTTGTTCGAGATACTGCTTTGGTATCATCGAAGAGCCTTAATGGATAAGGTACTGCTTCGATCACCCGAAGAATCTCAAGTTTTGTTCGAGATACTGCTTTGGTATCATCGGAGAGCCTTAATGGATAAGGTACTGCTTCGATCACCCGAAGAATCTCAAGTTTTGTTCGAGATACTGCTTTGGTATCATCGAAGGACCTTAACGAATGAGGGGCCGCTTCGACCACCCGAAGAATCTCAAGTTTTGTTTATACCACTCTGGTACCGCGAAGAACCTTATTGGATGAGGGCCGCTTCGACCACCCAAGGAGGATTGTTTATACCACTTTGGTATCATCGAAGGACCTTAACGAATGAGGGGCCGCTTCGACCACCCAAGGAGGATTGTTTATACCACTTTGGTATCATCGAAGGACCTTAACGAATGAGGGGCCGCTTCGACCACCCAAGGAGGATCATTTATACCACTCTGGTACCGCGAAGAACCTTATTGGATAAGGGACTGTTTCGACCACCCAGGGAATATCAGGTTATCTCGTTCATCTATTTTGCATCTTGTCATCCCGTTCAGGTATATCCTATCTCTTTGCATTTTTACTTGCTTGTCGGACAAATTTCAGGGTCTTCTTGTATCTAATTGACTTCCACCTTAGAATGAACGCCATGCAGTTGTTCATTCCCTCAGGTTCAAGGCAATTAGATAGGGGCATCTGTCATACCCCAAATTTGTCCTACCTTTTTTCAAAATTTTCATTTGCCCGACTTTGTTTTTAATTTACCTCGCTTATACAGCGTAGCATATTTTTCAGCAAAAACGGGCATTTTCGCTTTTTTAGCCCAATAAGGGTATGCCACGTGGCATTTGTTTTTATATATATACCCCTTTTTTATATAATTTCATTTTTCTCGCAATAGGTTAATATAATGTCTTTTTATTATGTTAGCTAGTTTTGAATTAGAAATTAGGATTTAATTTTATTTCTTTTAATTAAATAGATTTAATTTATGGCTTAATTATAATTTAGAAATTTTAATTTTAAAAATATAGATTAAAAAATAGAGTTAGAATTTAATTAGGATTTATTTTAAAAATTAGATTAGATTTTAATTAATTAGTTTAGATTTAATTTATAATTAATGGTTAGAATTAAATTAAAAAGGAAAATAGGTTTTTAATTAGTTTATTGTTCAGAAAAAATAAGTTAAAAGAAAATAAAAAAAAGAGATGAATTAATTTGTTCAGGGACACGGTGGATTAGGGTTTGGTTTTTTGGGGTTATATAAACAACATTGTTCATCATACCCTGGGGGGAAGGGATACTGTTCACCCTAACCCTAAAAAATAAGGCCTACACTGTTCACGATCCCTAAAAAAAAAACCAAAAACGGCGCTTCCAAAACCGAAGCCCTCTCATTTCTCCGGCGCCGTAACCTCTCCGCCTCCATCACCGCACCCTTTTCTTCCTCGCCGAAACTCCACCTTCTTCTTCCATGATCATTTCGCCGTCCCTAATCATTTTTCGGCCACCCTTACATAAACCCTCAACCATCTCCTTCCCAAATTCGTCACCGGTAATCACCTTGAAACAACTCCTTCGTCCACCCTCATATTAACCCGTATACCCTTTGTTTTACTCACACCATGAGCTCCTCGGATTACCACTTCAGCGGTCCACAAGAATTACCATGGTCAGACTAGAAATCACGATGTCGTTGGACTTCAACAACCTACAACCACTTCACTTTCCTTCGAAACCCCCGCCTTGCTCGCCGTTTTCACCACTACAACAAAGCCAATAAACACGGGATGTGCAGAAGCCATTTGAAGAAATGCCACGATATTGTGATGAATGTGTCAAGAGAGCTATCGCAACTAGACGATGTCGTTAAAACAACAACCTTCTTCCTCTCAATCACTGCTCCTCAAAGACACAAACCCACGGTTTTGCTCACATCTCTACCTACAACCATAACAACAAGCAGTGAAGTACTGTGATGTGACAACTTCTGGATCAATTCGACAACACCAATAATAACAACTTCGACTTCGCAGGGATACTAGTGCTCTAGATACTGTTATGACATTCGGGTCATTGTTTCTGTTATGGCTCAACACGAAAATAACGCAACAACTCGTTTTGGTTGTGAATCCAATTCAGGAATAGGATCTGTTTAAGTTTGTAGCAACGTTGCGGGATTTCGTCTTGGTTATGCAACAATAACTCAGTTTGTTTTTTTCTCTTAGAAGTCTGTTGTTTTGTCGATGGAATTGTTGTTGCTGCTCGTTGTATTGATGTTGTGAAGCTTGTACTCCTGTATACGGAAGTTGGTGCGAACTCTGCGGGTGAACAAACATGTCAGAATCATTGCAACGTAGCATTCAACAACAAGCATCATCACGACAACATAAGAGAATGGTGTACCTTCCGGTTCTTCACTATTTCACAACAACAGCGATGTTAAGCTCCACTGTGAATAGCAAAAACAAGCTATCCTGCTCTCCTTCAAACAACATCTTTCCAAATCCTCTCCTTGCTATTGTACTTTTTGTTTCTCTCCTTGTTTCTTTTGTATTTCTTTCCATTTGAACTGTTGCCATGGCAGTTTCTGCAATTGGTTTTGAAGGTTTTGAAAAGAGGTTGGAAATATCCTTTTCTGACCCAAGACTATTCTCTGACCCTCAAGGAAGGGGATTGAGATCTCTCACAAAATCCCAATTGGATGAGATTCTTTCACCAGCTGAGTGCACCATTGTGTCTTCTCTATCAAATGACAATGTTGATTCCTATGTTCTATCGGAGTCCAGCCTCTTTGTTTATGCCTACAAGATCATAATCAAAACCTGTGGCACTACCAAGTTACTGCTTGCAATCCCACCGATATTGAAATTGGCCGAGTCTATTTCTCTTAATGTTAGATCTGTGAAGTACACCCAAGGCAGCTTCATTTTCCCTGGTGCTCAGTCTTTTCCTCATCGCCACTTTTCTAAAGAAGTAGCTGTCCTTGATGGCTTCTGTGACAAACTTGGATCAGGTAGCATGGCTTATATTATGGGTGGATCCGATGAAGCCCGGAATTGGCATGTCTACTGTGCCTCCGCTGATTCCGCGAGCCTAGCAGATTCTGTCTACACACTCGAGATGTGTATGACCGGTTTAGGCAGAGAGCAAGCAACCCAACACTTCCCAACAGTACAACCAGAAAAATCTCTGTTTCCGGCAGTTGTTCAACGTTAATACGCAACAACAAGCTCTGAAAATCATAAGCCACTTCCACTGACTTGCCCTCCCATAAAGTTTGGAACTTGGATGGGAGGTGATAGAGATGGAAACCCAAATGTGACGGCAAAGGTCACAAAAGATGTTTCACTTCTATCAAGATGGATGGCAATTGACCTCTATATTCGGGAAGTGGATAGCCTCAAATTTGAGCTATCTATGAATCGGTGCAGCGATACTTTGTCAAGTATGGCACATGAAATCCTAGAAGGAGCTAAAGATGAGAATCGTCGTGAGAGTTGGAATCAATCAATGAATAGAAGTCAGTCACTTCCAACACAACTCCCAGCTAGAGCTTATTTATCCTCTTTTGCTGCAAATGGTGAATCTCAGCATCCTAGACTAGACATTCCAGGACCTGACCACAAGGATGTTGGGATTTCTCCAAACTTAGCTACAATCAGAACTGGCAATCCTAGTATTCAAGTATCACAAAAAAGTTCAGAAAATTCCAAAGCTTCTTCAGCTTCGATTCCATCTTCTCCTTCTCTCATCTCCAGTCAACCGCTTTCTCAGAGGAAATTGTTGGCAAAATCCCAAACAGGAAAGTCTGGTTTTCAGAAGCTTTTAGAGCCACAGCTCCCTCAACTTCCTGGTATTGCTCCTTATAGAGTTGTCTTGGGAAATGTAAAGGATAAGCTTGAGAGAAGCCGTAGACGGTTAGAACTTCTTCTTGAGGATGTTACATGTGACTACGATCCTTTGGATTATTATGAAACAGCTGACCAGCTTTTGGAACCTCTGCTCCTTTGCTATGAATCTCTGCAATCATACAAATTCGGGGTGCTAGCTGATGGCCGACTTGCTGATCTGATTCGTAGAGTTGCTACCTTTGGAATGGTCCTCTTAATTTCAACCTGCTTATCATTGATGATGTGGTTCTCCTGAATAACTTGATCAACAACAGAAGGATTCGCATAAGTAATGAACCCAAACCCTCTGGGTCAACCAGTATGTCGATCCTTCATGATAACAGAATCTGTTATCTCTCCATATCTTTCAAAGTATTTCACGAACGTTTCTAGGGTTGTATCTTTGGCTAACCCTCCGATGAAGATTTTTCTTGGGACTGGCACCGTCGCCATATTGAGGATTATCGGTCTTTCTTGACGCCATGGTTGCAGATCGAATATCCTGAGAGATTTTGAAGAGAAGTCTGCGAAAAAACTGGGAAGAAAGAATCAGCATCAGCGACAACTCAAGGCAAAAATGACTCATGTTTCGCGGTGACTCACAAGCAGCAGCAACCAAGGAAGTCCCAGCTATGGTTTGCAACTCAGCTTTGATTCGAACCGTGCGACAAACGACCCGGAAACTACTCAATTTTATGTCCTGCTCGTGACACCAACAGGATGCAGCAGCACCACGACACAGCGGTAACAATGCTTGCTTTAAATCCTACTAGCAAACAACAGCACCAAGTGATCCAGATTCACTGGCAACAGACAACAGTGACATCCACATCGCAACTTCCTTTTGCGTGGACGTGGTACATGCTTTTTGTTTTCATTTTTTAACTACTGTGGATTTTGTTATGCTACCTTTTTTTCTCATTTTACAATTGTTGTGGATGTTAAAAACTTATAAATCTCTAATCCCTGTTGTTGATGTTCATTATAAGTGAGTTGCTGATGATGTTGCATGCTTAAGTTATTGAAACTGAGTAATATTCGTAACAACAATGCATAACAGTTTTGATTATAATCATGCTTCAATTGCGTATTCACTTTCTTTTCAACTTAGATATGCTGTTTGATGTTGGTGTGTGATTATGGTAATGTTTGTATTTTGTTTTTGATTTCGATTATATTGCCACTATGCTTATTTCCATTGTGTTGTGACAAACTTTGGTTGTCATATCTTGCTGGATTTGTATGCATGAAAATTTCATCGTATGGATCTCATTTTGAGCATCGATTGTATTGCGTATTTCGATTATACTTATAATAATGTTGTGATTAAAGTCTGCCTGTTATGTCGATTGTTGATTTGTCTGTGGATTTATATTGGTGTATATATTGTTGGTTTTTGACTTAAGTCTTGCCAGAGGTCTTGATTAGTATACTGGAGTTATCTTTGAAGTTGTTTTTAAAGGGGGTGCTCAGGTTGGTTCAATTGCTGCTGGTGGTCGATATGATAACCTTATAGGAATGTTTGGTTCAAAGCAAGTTCCAGCAGTTGGTGTAAGTCTGGGAATCGAAAGAGTATTTGCCATAATGGAGCAACAACAGAATGATCAGAACCAGTTGGCCCGACCAACCAAGACAGAAGTCTTAATGAACATATTAGGGAATGACGTAACACTAGCTGGAGAGCTAGCTGGTGAACTATGGGATGCTGGTGTGAAAGCAGAATTCTTGGTAAACAAAAGAAGACCGAAACACTTTGACTACGCAAAAGAATCAAGAATCCCTTGGATGATACTCGTTGGTGAGCAGGAAATAAAAGAAGGCACAATGCAGTTGAAAAGCCTCGAGTCAGCAATACAACTCCATACGCATCAACGAGTCCGGCTAACGAATTCACGTCAACTTTGACACTGCAACCATATCAGTGTTGATACATGTACCGCAGCAGCCTCATCTTCAACAATCTTATGGCAGCTCTCACTCTGGTTATACGGCGTCGGTAAATCCTTTAATCCTTGCTCTTTGGTTCAATTGTATATCAGCACTCGATTGGGCTTGTTTGCTACTGGAGATTCGATGTATTTATCTTTGTTTTCAAGGAATTGTGTGGTTGTTTTGTTCTAAAATTTGTGTCGAATATCCGACGTGACGTCGTTAATATTCAAGGTGTTGTTTTGAATTAACAATATTAGTTCTTGGTTAGTAAATTATATCTAGCTTTTGTTGTGCTCAAATGTCATTTTCAAAAATATATTTCAAAAAATCATTACCAAATTAATACTTTTAAATAATAAACTTTTCAAAAATATATTTTATTTAGAATCTATTTCTTCTTAAAGATATTAACCTTTTCAAAACAATTAATTATGATAATATTTTAAGTAAAAAAATATATATATACTTTATTAATAAAGTTAAAATACTTTTTCTGAGATACTAAACTTTTTCTTCAAAAAACAATTAGTTATGATTGATTTTTCTCAATAACTCTTTACAATTGATTAAATTAGTTTATATGAAAATTAAAACTATTTTCTTGATTAAATTAAACTATTTTCTTAAACAAATTTCAAAACAATTGAATTCTCGGATCTCGCCTTCCTTGAATTTTTAAGCGATCTCGCCTTCCTTGAATTTTTTTAAGCGACTGCTCTCGAGGTGCACACCTCGAGTTGTGCTCCTTCCGATCTTATTTTCAAGAATACCTAGCGCGCCTAGTCCAAGTACGCTAAACTATTCAAAATATTTTCTAAATCAAATCACGAAAGAGTCGAGTTCTTGGAGTCGCGCATTCCTCGAACTCGAGAGTGGCTACCATTGAAGCGTACGCCTTGAATGGCGTGTCGCTCAAACTTTCGTTCTTAAAATACCTCCTCTAATTATTTGGGCAAGTACTTTCACTGTCCAACAAATACTATTTTATAATTAATGGGATGAAAAAGATTGTCGTTGGGATCTAGCATTCCAACGATATCCCGACTAATTGATTACGAGGCCGACGTCTCGTTTATTGAGTAGTCGTCATTCCTCCTAATTTTTTTCAATCCACATAATCTCATTTCTCACCCTCGTGTGATTGAATCAAAACCTCCTTCAATTCAAACTGTTTCGCGTCGAAACTGTCTATCAAACATATTTCGAATGAAAAAGGTATCGTTGGGATCTAGCATTCCAACGATATCCCGATTAATCTATTGCGAGGTCGACGTCTCGTTTATCGAGTAGTCGTCATTCTCCCTTAAAATATTCAACCCAACTTGCTTTCCTCGCCCCCCGCGCGATTGAATCTTTCTCAAACACATTTCGTAGAATCTTTCGAATGAAAAAGGTGTCGTTGGAATCTGGCGTTCTAATAATGCCCCGATTAATTGATTGCGAGGCTGACGGCTCGTTTATCGAATAGTCGTCATTCTCCATCAAATTACTTAACCAAACTCCTCTTTTCTCGCCCCCGCGCGATCGAAACCCTAAACCTACTCAAATATATCTTCTAATAGAAACATCCAATGCGATAAACACAAATTCCTCGCCCTCGTGCGATTTCCAACCCAAATACCTTTTACTAAAGAACATTGTTTAGTCCCTTCTTCCGCGCATAACAAACTCGTGCTTCAGCCTCCCCTAGCGAGCAAACAAGCCCATGTTTAGCAGTTAGAATGCGACCTAAACTCTCGTTCATTCCAAACACAAACCTTTTACCGCACCAGCCGAACTACGGCTGCTCTGATTTCTCACATTCGTTGAGAATACGTAGGCATAGGATTGCGATGATCCTAGCGAGCACTTTTCTTTCTTTCCCACCTTTAGGTTCCCATACCTTTTACCAAGAACATCGTTTAGTCCCTTCTTCCGTGCATAACAAACTCGTGCTTCAGCCTCCCCTAGCGAGCAGACAAGCCAACGCTTAGCAGTTAGAATGCGACTTGAGCACTCGTTCACATACCAAACCTTTTACCGTAGTTAGCCGAACTACGGCTGCTCTGATTTCTCACATTCGTTGAGAATACGTAGGCATAGGATTGTGATGATCCTAGCGAGCACTTTTCTTTCTTTCCCCCCTTTAGGTTCCCATACCTTTTACCAAGAACATCGTTTAGTCCCTTCTTCCGCGCATAACAAACTCGTGCTTCAGCCTCCCCTAGCGAGCAGACAAGCCAACGTTTAGCAGTTAGAATGCGAACTAAACACTCGTTCGTTTACCAAACCCACAAACCGTAGTAAGCCGAACTACGGCTGCTCTGATTCTTCATTCCCTTTCGAATGTAAGATACGTAGGCACAAGATTGCGATGATCTTGGCGAGCACAATTCCCCTTCTTTCCCCGTAGTC